CCACAAGCATGCATATGGTGCGGACATTCTCAGGTTTCTGGTAATCCAAGGGGACACAACTCTGCTCAGATAATATAGGCTCCCATTCGAAGGTATGTAGTTCAACAAACAAACATAATTAGTAAAACGTAAACCTTGAGGCTCAGCATCAAGCACTGTGTTAGTTAAACAGTTTGACAGAAATACACAATAATCAATGACAGATTGTTTATTATTTGTGATCACAAATACAAGCCTGACAATTTCTGAAGCAATGAAGGAAATACCTGTGTTGGAAAATATATCAGATATAAACTCATGCAAAATTATATAACAGCAATGGTATGGAATAGCTGGTAGCATGCATCTATTATAACCACATGCTGTCTCATCAATGGAGAGACACCTGTACATAGCTTAACTGCTATGAATAATAGCATCACACTGGCTATCATAATGGTTTCTCTAATTACTTTTGTAATGATAAGCAGTCATTCTTGAACTAAATTCTGCATGTATGACAGCAACATTTTACAACAGAAACTGCATGCAAAAAAGTTTTTTCTCAGAAGCTATACACAAACAAAAGCAAATCATTTAAATGAAAATGAAATTTAACAAACAAAAGTAAATAAGCAATACTGGCAACAACTGTTTGCAAGAATAAATTTAACAAAATCTTCTAAGTAACTACCATCAAGCTCTGAACCAAGCATCATGCATCATGCCATACAACATCAGGCAACAGTTGGCACATGGAGCATTGGTTAACAAGTAGAACTGGAACAGACTGGGGATGGTGGTGGCAGAGATCTACATGCATGCTATACAAATATATCTAAATCCTCTCCGATTAGGTATTTTGTATTTTGTTAGAGAGCCTACTTTTTCAGCAATGCAGAAATGTTATTATACTGGTTTGAGTTAAGACATATATCTGCATGTTATTACCGTGAATAGCTGGGTCTCAAAGATAAAAATAGGTAAGAGTATTTTTGTGGAAAACAAATAGACGTACTGCAAATTAATAAAAGATTTCAATAAAAGATTGTTTGGATTTGGTTTGAGAAGAAGCAGAATCCAGTTACAATCATAGAAGAGACTGGGAAGCTTCTGTGTGTATATAAAATTATACCTAAATATAGTTTGAGGAACTTCACAAAACACAGGGTGTCTTATGAGTAATTACATTCTCCCAAGAGACATAGGCTTCATTATGCAGCATGTCATCACACCATGACTGAAACAGTACAGATGCCCAGAGAGCATATATTTCCAGGTTTGAGATAGATGAACTGACCATACATTCTGGTGAGTTAGTGAGTAAGTAGGGGGTTAAATCCCATCACTACTAGGCAAGAAATACCAGGAATGGTCCACAAACAACGTACCATCAGGAAAACCATGTTTTACCCACTTGGCTAGCCTCCATCTTACAAGGTGGTTTGGAGCACGTGGTGCTTCAAGACAATACCTGAAGTTTGCTTTATTGAAGCTGTCTGCGAAACATGTAAAAGTCCAAACATCTTTTGGTGCAAATTTGTAAAGAATATATGACAGACAGCATATTCACCTAACATGAATTCAAATTCTAACAGAACTTCTTCAAATAGACAAACATTAAAGGTTTCCATGTCAACAAAGACATTTCTCTAAGCCATTTTGGATTCAGGAATTTTCAACATCATGAAACAGCTCAGTGTGGATATGACGAGTTTCTCCCTCGTCAATGACACTGTATGAGTTTAGTATGTGGCCATACAGATAGTCAAATAACTAGATCACATATCTGAGGGTAAGTTGACTGTCTAAACTTGTAACACAAACAAAACACCCACCTGTACAAGCAAGCAAGATGGTGGAACCACACTAGCTACAAGAAAACAAATATTTGTTGATTTCAAATCAACTTATTTCATACCAGAATGTCCCACTTGTGTGACCAAGTTAACACCTTTACCAGCAAGCAATATACACTACATGTACTACACATGCCACCACCATCATGTAGGTTGGAAAGGGTCAACGGGAAATCAACAAACCTGTCTGTAATGATGGAGAGATCTCTACAAGCTAGAAATATTATGACATGATCTGAAACGAAACATTTAGCATGTTAGTCACACACAATGTCAACAGCACTCAGTGCCAGGCAGTTTTACAGGTAAATGCATGGGTGAATAATTGTGTTAATATCAGATTAAATGAAAACAGTGGCACATGGTTATAGGAACATGAGGGTAAATATAGTATGCCTGACATACAATGTTAGCAGAATGGAATGACAAAATGTAGTAAAAAAAATAGATTATTTTACAAAACACTCTCATAAAATGACACATCGACTTCTCAATCCATTTTCATCAATCATCAGTTATCAGTAAAATCATCACTAAGCATGTCTGCCAAAATCATCATCATCATCATCATCATCATCATCTGTAAATCCTCACTAAACATGACCTCCAAAATCATCACCATCATCATCATCTGTAAATCCTCACTAAACATGAACGCCAAAATCATCACCATCATCTGTAAATCCTCACTAAACATGAACGCCAAAATCATCATCATCATCATCTGTGTTATCAGTAAAATAATCACTATTCATGTCTGCCAAAATCATCATCATCATCATCATCATCATCATCTGTAAATCCGCACTAAACATGACCTCCAAAATCATCACCATCATCTGTAAATCCTCACTAAACATGAACTCCAAAATCATCATCATCATCATCTGTACAAAACACAAAACATCATCATCATCATCATCATCTGTAAATCCTCACTAAACATGAACGCCAAAATCATCACCATCATCTGTAAATCCTCACTAAACATGAACGCCAAAATCATCATCATCATCATCATCTGTAAATCCTCACTAAACATGAACGCCAAAATCATCATCATCATCTGTAAATCCTCACTAAACATGAACTCCAAAATCATCACCATCATCTGTAAAATCCTCACTAAACATGAACACTAAACATGAACGCTCTCCAAAATCATCATCATCATCTGTAAATCCTCACTAAACATGAACGCCAAAATCATCATCATCATCTGTAAATCCTCACTAAACATGAACGCCAAAATCATCACCATCATCTGTAAATCCTCACTAAACATGAACTCCAAAATAATCATCATCATCATCATCATCTGTAAATCCTCACTAAACATGAACGCCAAAATCATCACCATCATCTGTAAATCCTCACTAAACATGAACTCCAAAATCATCACCATCATCTGTAAATCCTCACTAAACATGAACTCCAAAATCATCACCATCATCTGTAAATCCTCACTAAACATGAACACTAAACATGAACGCCAAAATCATCATCATCATCTGTAAATCCTCACTAAACATGAACGCCAAAATCATCATCATCATCTGTAAATCCTCACTAAACATGAACGCCAAAATCATCATCACCATCATCTGTAAATCCTCACTAAACATGAACGCCAAAATCATCATCATCATCATCATCATCTGTAAATCCTCACTAAACATGAACGCCAAAATCATCATCATCATCTGTAAATCCTCACTAAACATGAACGCCAAAATCATCACCATCATCTGTAAATCCTCACTAAACATGAACGCCAAAATCATCACCATCATCTGTAAATCCTCACTAAACATGAACTCCAAAATCATCACCATCATCTGTAAATCCTCACTAAACATGAACGCCAAAATCATCATCATCTGTAAATCCTCACTAAACATGAACGCCAAAATCATCATCACCATCATCTGTAAATCCTCACTAAACATGAACTCCAAAATCATCATCATCATCATCATCATCTGTAAATCCTCACTAAACATGAACGCCAAAATCATCACCATCATCTGTAAATCCTCACTAAACATGAACTCCAAAATCATCATCATCATCATCATCTGTAAATCTTCACTAAACATGAACTCCAAAAATCATCATCATCATCTGTAAATCCTCACTAAACATGAACTCCAAAATCATCACCATCATCTGTAAATCCTCACTAAACATGAACTCCAAAATCATCACCATCATCTGTAAATCCTCACTAAACATGAACGCCAAAATCATCATCATCATCTGTAAATCCTCACTAAACATGAACGCCAAAATCATCATCATCATCTGTAAATCCTCACTAAACATGAACGCCAAAATCATCACCATCATCTGTAAATCCTCACTAAACATGAACTCCAAAATCATCATCATCATCATCTGTAAATCCTCACTAAACATGAACGCCAAAATCATCACCATCATCTGTAAATCCTCACTAAACATGAACGCCAAAATCATCATCATCATCTGTAAATCCTCACTAAACATGAACGCCAAAATCATCACCATCATCTGTAAATCCTCACTAAACATGAACGCCAAAATCATCATCATCATCATCATCATCATCATCTATAAATCCTCACTAAACATGAACGCCAAAATCATCACCATCATCTGTAAATCCTCACTAAACATGAACTCCAAAATCGTCACCTTTGTTTGTTGATGCATCACTCTGCAATATTACAGCTCTATGACATCAGCCTATAGATAATGGATTTTTTTCCAGACAAACCAGTGGGAATTTGGGAACTCTATATCTATGCCATTTGGGTTCAGTGGCACACAATCAGTCAATGCACCAAGTTTGACAACCCAATACATAACCTAACCTAGAATCATTACTTTACATCACTGTCCCAAATCAACACCGATCATCATCAATCATCATCATCATCATCGTCGTAGTCATCGTTGTCGTCATTGTCATCATCGTCCTTTAACACTCACAATTGTTTGTTAATCACTGCTGTTACATATCCTGAAGAGATCGGTCTTCTATAACAGCATCATCAAATGTATCGTCAGAATTAGGGAACACCTGACTATTTTATATCATATTTAAACCCAGTAATAAATACCAACCTTCTTAGTCCACCACTCCTTATGATTAGGACATATATCCATACATATATATATATATATATATATCTCATAAAGGGCCATTCCTTATTGATCCTTACAGCATCTTAACAAGACAATTTGGAAGAAGTAGAGCCCACTTCCATCACTGAATTCTTACTGCAGTTAAATTGTGCATCCCACACTGAAGTTCAGGATCGAGAACAAGATCTTCATCCCATTCTGTGACTGTGTGTTCCACATTAAGTCAAGGACCTCATGTATTGTGGAGTCCAACTTCACTGAGCCTACTTCCATTCTCATTGCTATTCATCACAACATTGCTATATTGTAGCATATATATTCCTGACATACAATCCGTGCAGTAAGTCGGGCAGCGAGTATGAAGTATTATGACTATGTATTGTATTGTTAACAAGCCTGTCACGACTAACACTAATAACAGTAGACACAACGTAACAGGGATATACACCAGCATGACTGTGGTGATAACAACCACAGATTCAATGGTGCATAATTCAAACCATTCAGCATCCGATGACAAATGACAATTTAAGTACCTGCAGCCTGTCCACAGAATTATGAAGTGACAAAGTGTCAGTCTAAATCAGCTGTTTGAATAAGAGGCCTGATATGGTGATTTGATACCCCATGACACTCAAATGACAGAATAACTGCAGAGCATGAAGTTATGTACAAATCAAACAATCCATTTGGACTGTGAATTAATATGTTGACTGTTTGATGAGATACAACTGACCAACCACTCAAGGGCCATAAGAATGAATGTTTCTGTCCAAATAGTTAACAGAACTGGGTTTTAATATTACCCATCTATTACTGGATTTATAACCACCCTCATACTGTCTGTTGTGGATATCATTCTTTCTTCAATTAGAGACAGAGTTCAACCTTATCATAACTCTGGCCTTATGATTGTACACTAAGCAGCTACACAATACCCACCTCAACAGCAGGATCATGATACAACACATGATACAGTACATTATACAACATGGTACAATGCTCATCTCGACGATGTCAGGATACAATTATAAAGGCCACAAAATAATATATTTCCCGACCGACCCCATCACAAACTTCCTGACCCTAAACTTTTTATTTCGTTTTTTATAAAGACGGTGAAACATTTTGCTATTCCAACCGTATGTACTCCCCAATGTTGGGAGGGCGACCATATGTGACCTGTGCCCACTTACTCTTTGTTTTTCATAAATGTCGAACTTAGAAAGTGTTGATGCTTCAGTTATTAAAATTTTAAACTGGTTTACCCTCTTTTCTTTCAAAACTGGAGCCTGATATTACATAAATATGTGATTTTATGAAAAATATGCGAGTGCATTTAAAAAAAATTGTAAGAAAATAAAAGATAAACCCTACCTACCGACCCTGTTTTAAATTTCATGTTACCCTAAACAAACATATTTTTTTTGCCTAAACAACACAATCCACGATTAACATTAACAACGGACGCAACAAAATGTATTTGAGCATCCACAGGGACGTAGAAAAAGTCCAAATACTTTTTGTAAAATTTCGGTCAAGTAACAATAAGTTATCACTGAGTGTGCTTCTAGCCAGGTTATGGTATCATTTGCAATTTAATTACTGTAACAATGTGACAATCATGATACACAATACAATAACAGTAACTGAATTACAACAATATTGCAACACAGTATTAATAATATTTACCGTATATGACCGTCTATAAGCCGACCCCATGGATAAGCCGACCCCCAAACTTGACCCTCAAAATCAGTGTCAAAATCATATCTCTCATGGATAGGCCGACTCCCCGCGATGGGTCGCGGCCAACAGAGACCAGAGTACCCGGTAAGTATGTTCCATCAACGACGAGACACCATTACGAGAATATTACATAATAAAGATTACCGGTGTTTGTTTACCTTTTTTTAACGATCACTGCTTGCATCAACAACGAGACGCCATTTGGAAAGTGGATATACAGCGTAAGTGTTGATGAGAATATTACATAATAAAGATTACCGGTGTATTGTGGCAACATGTGTTTGTGTTCCTTTTTATATCCCGACGATCACTGCTTGCATCAACAACGAGACGCCATTTTGTGAAATCGGTGAGTATGGAAATGTGAACCCAAGAGAAAAAGTACCATCGGTAAATAAAAACTGAAGTCAACTTTTGTTTCAAAATATATTATTTAAGTGTCCATATTTCATCTATATATATATGACAATAAGAAAAATAGTCCACTAACAATAAACACTGACATTTCTGCAAGAGAGTTCTGAGATTTTCACAAGTCATCGGCCGTAAACCCATCAAATTCCGTGTCACTGTCCTCCTCATATACTGTAAGTCGATCCACATTATTCAAAGAATTAACTGTCAGATATATTGTGTCTACTCACGGATCGAAACGAATTGTAGTTGACAGAAAATGCATAATATATTTTGCTTCTCTAAATATCATATTTATTGTAGCAACAAACTGGCTTGCTTATTTTACCCCATTCAGCAATCACAAACTGATTACCGCCTCGTTCCATGTCACGTGCTTACCACGTTCATGATGGTCCGTATAACCTTAGTGTTGATTATATATTTTTTACATAAAAACTATTACACAATGCTAGGATATATTTCTTTGGGTTAAATAATAGTATTCAAACAATAAAATTCATCCCGTTATATTATTGTGCATGTTTGAACTTGTTTCACGGGAAGCGTGTGCACAGCTGATTGCTATTTCGGCTTTGTGTAATGAGGCAGATACATACGGTAATCTTAATTAATTTATAGAGCAAAACTGTAACTAAAATTACACAATGCTAGGATATATTTTTGGGTTAAATAACGGTATTCTGTATTATATTTTACTGATGACTGCGTCAGAATTCGATCCCGTTATATTATTGTGCATGTTTGAACTTGTTCGCCGGAAACGTGTGCACAGCTGATTGCTATTTCCGGCTTTGTGTAATGCAGAGACAAATACGCATACGGTAATCTTAATCCCTGCAAATAAAACAATGCCCAGCAAAAACAACTTATAACTTAAATGGTAAATAATCTTGTCTAGTGATGTTTAAATGCAAATTTGACGTCTCTACTGACAAAGTCGTCTTCTGTTGTTTGTTCACGCGAAGTGATACGATGTTGTTTTCTTACCCCTGGAAAAAAGTTTGACGAAAGTGTAACTCATGGATAAGACGACCCCCTTCTACAGACTGCTTTTTTTGGTCCTCAAAATTCGGCTTATAGACGGTCATATACGGTAAGTGTCTGGGACCTCCATTTTGTAGTCCAGGATTGTAAGCATGAGTATGAGTCCCTCACATGCAGGAGTCATGGTAAATCCCTGCACGATACAGCTTGATACAGTACACAATACATGATACAGTGCAGATCACAACAGTAGGATCGTGATACAATGCATATGACACATGGTACAATATACAATACAACACTCATCTTGACAGTATAGGTCATGGACCGCCTCCGTGGTGTAGTGGTTAGAGCGTCCGCCTGGAGAGCGGAAGGTCGTGGGATCGATCCCCAACCGCGTCATACCAAAAGACGTTAAAATATGGTACTTGTTGGTCCCTGCCTGGCGCTCGGCATTAATGGGTACAACAAGGACTGGTCGGCTTGGAGTCAGTATAATGTGTCTGAGTGGGGTATTCATGTTTCACTGCGGCATGGTATCTCAGTGGGCTAGCACTATAAAACCAGCTTCAGTCTGGGCTAGTACAAGCAGCCGCACATACACATACACGCGCATGCACGTCGTCATATGAGCGAAATATTCTCAGGTACGACGTTAAACCCAATTTCACCTCACCTCACCTCAGTAAGTTCATGATACACCATGTAACCCAAGACAGAACACATGGTACACTTTATAACACACATGACACGATACAGTAGTACACTTTATAACACACATGACACGATACAGTACACTTTATAACACACATGACACGATACAGTACACTTTATAACACACATCACACGATACAGTACACTTTATAACACACATGTGAACAAGCAGCAGCTGGAAGTTCCTCTATTTTAACATGTAAAATAAATAAACATATTACCCAGTGTTTGTGTCATACAAGGAAATTATGACTTGGGATATTTTTTAATGACAAATGCTGCACACTATAACTCTTCTAATAATACAATAATATATGTGTATCACGTTGTATAAACTTTCATCCCCAAGAACATAGAATGTGCATATACATACCTCCTGTCCTAAAGAGCAGTCACGTTACACATAGGACTCATGCCTGACAATAACCAGGCAGCTCAAAAATGTCAAAGTAGCTGCAAGTAATATTTCTCTCAGGCTGGCTTTCCTGTATGTTATCAAAACTGGACTGAAAGGCCACCTTACTTGTTTCATGGTCTATATTTACATTATTTTTGTAAAATGCTAAAAATAATAGCTTGGTTGGTTAGAAACAAAACTATCGCAAGTAAATATGTTTTCATAATGTTGGAGACTGCCTCCGTGGTATAGTCGCTAGAGCGTCCACCCGGAGAGCGGAAGGCCGCGGGTTCGATCCCCGACCGCGGCATACCAAAAGACGTTAAAATATGGTACTTGTTGGTCCCTGCCTGGCGCTCGGCATTACTGGGTACTTCAAGGACTGGTCGGCTGGGAGTCAGTATAATGTGTCTGAGTGGGGTATTCATGCTTCACTGCGGCATGGTATCTCAGTGGGCTAGCACTATAAAAACCAGCTTCAGTCTGGGTTAGTACAAGCAGGCGCACATACAAATACACACGCATGCACATCGTCATATGAGCGAAATATTCTCAAGTACGACGTTTAACCCACTTTCACCTCACCTCACCTCATAATGTTGGAAAGTATTTTTTAGTTATGTGGGTAATATTAAATGCCAATTCTGCTGACTATAAGGACAGAAACATACACATGCAATTACTTGACTGCCAGGAGTTGGCATTTTTACACAAAACAATTTTGAAACATTATTGAATAGGAAATTTAATCAGATTTGTATCGTAAATGTATTTGTAAATGCCTTATGTGAATTAAAACCATTATTAGTGTTTACCATAATCATGGTGAAATCTTGTAAAAATTTTAAATATCTACATCTAATCCAAACAAAATCAGTCAGTATCTGGTATTTGCAAATCACTGGCCATGATGACAGCAATTATGTGACAAGCTCCACTTTAATAACCAATTTTCACTGACAAATTGTTTTGGAGAGGTGCTCTTAAAACCCAAGAAATTGTTTACATTACTATTTGTTATTCTATGTTGCCGGTTGGACACATGGGAAAATACATGCCAAACTGGATGTTTGTTTATGTAAAATACTTCACTCAGCAATAATCCAGCAATATAATGTGCAGCAGCTGTACACTTTACCTCGTCTTGACCAGACAAGCCAGTGATTCATCTTTATGATTAACATCGATCCACACCATGAAGGTACAATCAACTATAAGCTACCAATTCTAACAACCTATCCATTGGGTCACTCGCCTGACCAGCAAAGAATGCTGGGGACCGATTAGTCTGTCTCACAGTCCCAGAACCACATTATTGTCCCTACTGCCTAGCCCTTTCTGCAATGGAAAAGCCATAAATGAAGCAAGTCTAGATTTCCTCAGGTTCTGAATCTCTGGGGCTCCTTTTCAATTTAAATGTGTTTGTTTGTTACTATCAAAATTATATATATTCAGAGACTAAGTGTTAGCCTAGGGACCGATTTTAATCTGGAATTACCATGTGATTATAATAGTTCGTAAACCTCTTCTTGTACTATAAAAATAATATGATGGACTCCATTCAAAAAGGTC